ACAGTGAAAATGTGTTCTCTTACCTATTTTTGAAAACGTGTTTTAGAAAATGGGAAAAAAAATGAACTGAAAACAGAAAATGGGCAAAACCACGTTTTGGAAAATCTACGCTAGAAACCTTGTTTAATTCCAAAATACGGGAAACGGTATTTCCTCTCATTTCTCACATCCTCTCTCTCTCTCTACCCTCTCCCGCAACGTTTGTCTCTCACAAACCCTCTCCCACAAACCCATAACCCCAAAAATCCTATTGAGCTCTTGTTGCCAAATCGAAGCCGCACGATCTTCAGGTCAAGGTTTTGCAGTCGTCTTCCCAAATCGATGGATTCTCTAAGGGCTGTTACAATCAAGGCTTGAATGTAATAATCTTTGTTCTTGTTGGGTTAGGTTTCATCTCCTTTTTTTATTTGTTGGATGTAAAAACTGAAGCGGGTTAGATAATTGTTGGGGCGGTGAAGTCGCAGGGGAAAGGGTAGTTGGTGGTGGAGGCGGAATTGCAGGTTAGGTATGGGTGCCGTTTGTTGGCTATTCTTGCTGTTTGGGGAAGGAAAACTTATTGCTAAAATGGCTCTGCAATTTTTGATTATCTCTGTTCATCTGTAAGAATTTTGTTGTGTGGTTTTAGCAAAAATTGATCGATAATTTGGTTTATCTGTGATCTATGGAGACAAATGCCCTGTTGTATACATATGAACTGCTCCTTTTTAACATAATTAGAATTTTTGCAGAACCATAGTTACTGCTCGGGTTAGTTGTAAGGTGAATGGTTGTTTTTGTAAGTGAACTCATTTATTAGATCAGAAATCTAATTGAAGAAATTGCAATAGACATGACCATATATTGTTGCTTCTAGGCTGTATCAGTTCTTTAATTATGCTGTCAAAATATATATGGGAAATTCTTACATTTTTTGAGTAAAGCGTCATTTAATGAATGATCGTCATCCCAATTTTGCTTTCAACAAATTGGTTATGTGAGTCTATGCTTTCTATTTGTCAGTCGGATACCAATTGCTTGGCAAGACTCCGGTAAATTAATAAGAGATAGATTAAGGCGAATGAAATATTTCTGCCCCTTTTTGCATGTATGTTTAATTGTTTTCTCATTGTCCTACAACCAAGTAAGACTCCACATATATATGTATTATCAGTCTGCAATTCAATTAGCACTAGGTGTGATTATACAATAGCAATTATCTTAAGGATCTACAAAGTGGCCCTCTGGCAGATCATGTGCCTCAAATAGCTTGGCATCTACCATTTGGTGCAAATGAGCTTGGCATCATGTTACGGGACCTGTGTGCTGCCAGTGACATTTTTTTGTAAATTTCATTTCTGTTGGCATAAAATACAGTCTCTTTTGCCATTAGATGAAGAATACCTAAAAATTGAAGATAGTTTTGATGTTTGTGGATATTTGTGATTGCATTTCATGATTGTGATAGTTTAAAACTTTCTTTTCACCAGGTTAGGGTGAGGATTGGGTCCCCTATTACTGGCTATGGCCAAGAAAGCAAGAATCGTCAGCGAATTCCTAATCGAACATATGTTGAGGTATATATATATATATACAGAAATGATCTAATGAGTACCAGTACTCATCTTATCCTAAACACCCATGAGTTGGCGCATTAATTCATTGGTGGATAAAGATTTTGTGAGTTCCAATCCACCAATGAATTAATGTGCCAACTCATGGGTGTTTAGGATAAGATGAGCACCGGTACTC